ATGTGGAGATATGACTATCACGATAGAATTAGTTACGCCAAGTATAAACATGTCGTACACGTCAGGTAGCAGCTGAAATATTTTAATATTTGCCATAATAAGCCCATAACCTGTTGGCAAAACAACCAAAACATCTTCACCATTTTACAATGGCCGAGATACATTTGAATGTCTCGTCTTTTAACGAATATTCAACCCCTCTTTTCGCTAGAACAGCTTTCATAGCTCTTTCAATATTTGCCATTGAATATAATTTAATAGTAGTACGATTTAAAGCACCTTTAAACGTATAAAAACCATTTTGTATACTATATTCTGATGAGAATCTTTGTTTAAAACAATATCGATTGTGAGCGTGTGCCCGCGCGAATTTAGTAAGCGGAATAAACAGAAGCAATAAAAGCGCATGCGCCATTTATCTCATTTTGGATCAAATAAATTCGATTTCCCCAGAGTCATGCCACAACCTAACCCGCGAACAGGCATACTCTGGGAACGAGATTGACAGTAATCAGTATTGATAGTATGCACTATAAAAACTAACCTTCACTGTGTTTCCTCCAGAATATTTAAAATAAATAGAATATCAGCCTTGGCAGCCTTGCACAAAATCCGATTTCTTCCTTTATTGCTGCCGAGCCACAGAATAAAGATCATTATTATACATTTAATATGTATTCTCGTTTCTATTGGTCAGAAAGCACCGGCTAATTTTCAGTATTCGGCATTTATTACGTATTTTCCGCCGATGACGTCATCAGCGTCCAATAATTGTTTTTTTGGATTATGCCTTCAGCTAGCCCGCGTGCAGGCCCAAGGGAACTGATAGTGGGCCTGCAAGCAAGGCCCGGTATTTTGTACTTTCTGCGTTCGCCTACGAACGCGGCATTCTGATTGGCTATTTGCTGTTGGATTCTATAATTAGGTCAGTGATTCATCACAAAGGCTCTCGCGATAAGCTCAAAATTCGAAAATTGATAACTTTTTTCGATTATAAGTGGAACAAGAACAGACTGTTTGTTGTTTACTTGAAGGAAGAGATGTTTTTGCCGTTATGCCAATGGGGATTGCTTGTCGCGAGGTGTTGGAATAGCAACATCACGACTGGGTGAACTATAGTAACCTTTACTTGAGTTTCATTAATTTCAAACATACTTGATACATTATACGTTCCTCAAGAAAATTATCTTTTGGTTGATGTTGAGATGCAGTTGCATGTAAGCCTATTCGAAACACTTTGCGATTTACAAGGCTTCGCTGAGAGAGCGAAACAGAAGACGGTATTAAATTGCCGTTTGAAACGAAACGATCTGGACTCTGAACGCTCTCTTCTTTTGTAGAGTTCTTTACCAAATGAAATAACTGAAATGAATTTCGTACTTTCCGCCGCCAACAAGAATTGCACACACGATCTGATAAGTGAGACAATTTATTTATAACAATGCCAATGGCGACAGCGAAGCACACATAATATAAATGCTAATGTAGTCGCACGACTTCCCTCATGATTTGAAGTTTGAGACTGGTTTTCTGTTGAAATTCGTCCTAATTTGCTTGTTCCGATTTTAGTTGAAAATGAGCACTTGCAAATTTGGCAATTACTGACTGCGTTGCTTGCTTTTTTGGAGTTAAAACGCTGCCATTTACACATTGTTTATGTTCTGAATAAGCAGAGAAAACCCCGCAACATTTTAATGCGAGTTTGTTTGTTAATATTTGGGTGCTGTCATTGGTTCTTTTTTGACAATTGACGCGTGAATGGGGCGTGTTATGAAAAGGGGCGTTTTACAAAATACCTGGCCTTGCTTGCAGGCCCACTATCAGTTCCCTTGGGCCTGCACGCGGGCTAGCCTTCAGCCAATACAGCGCGTTTATAGCCTCCTCCGCAGGCAACTGTGTAGTTCTGCAACGTTATTAACCATAAAAGATTTATCAGGAACTTAGAAAATACAAGGAAATACTAGTTCTGAAATACGATATGATATTTATAATAAACACTGGAGCGTAAAAATAGGGAGGCTTGTGGATAATGTAGGAAGTAGTGTGTAGTTCTGCAACGTTATTAACCATAAGTTTGGATGCTTGAAAGGAACATCCACAACCTATTGTCTTTTAGACATGATCCACACTTGGTTGTCCAACTTAGAGTGTCCTGAAAAACATCTTAGACTTTGTTTCCTTGACTTCGAAAAGGCATTTGACCGTATAGGACATAATTTACTAATATTAAAGCTGTTGGACCTAGGTGTTAGATCGTCCCTGTTGCCTTGGATTATCAACTTCCTAACTAACCGCCGTCATCGGGTCAAACTTGGAGGGAAAACGTCAGACTGGTTGCCAATGAATGCGAGTGTCCCCCAGGGGACTAAACTCGGTCCAATTCTGTTTTTGGCGATGATAAATGATCTCGATGTGAAACCACACGCAACGGATATTTGGAAATTTGTGGATGACATATCAACATCTGAAAATATCACAAAGGGCAGCAATTCAAAGTTTCAGTTCTGTATTGATACTATAAATTCTTGGGCTTCGTGCAACCTTATGAAACTTAACCCCCAAAAGTGCAAAGAACTACGCGTTTGCTTTCTGCGGGAATCACCTGATCTATCACCATTGTTGATCGACGGTCATGCACTTGAGGTTGTGCGGTCTCATAAAGTCCTAGGTCTGGTTATCCAAAACGATCTTAAATGGAATGCACACATAGAATCAGTTGTATCCAAGGCTTCTAAACGTTTATATATCATCCGCATATTACGACGAGGTGGTGTCCCTGCGGAAGACTTGTTGAGTATATACTTTGCCTTAATACGATCGGTTCTGGAGTACTGTTGTGTGGTATGGCATCATGCCCTACCTTTGTACCTCGCCGATGATTTAGAGCGAGTGCAAAAACGAGCGCTGAGGATTATTTTACCGGGTTACTCTTATAGGGAAGCATTAGCACAACTTGGGTGTTCCAGATTGGATGAAAGGCGAGAACGACATTGCCTCAATACTATGAAACGAATAGAAATTGAAGGACCACTGTCAAAATATGTTCCATTGTCTAGGGCTAGTTCAAATGATTATGAACTTAGAAACTCTAACACATTAACAACAATAAAATGCCGAACAGAAAGATATCGCCGTAGCTTTTTTCCCAGTACAGTAGCTCTATATAATAGTTATAGTAAAGAAACTTAAGCGTGATACTTAATTACGATGATTTTAATGCAATTCAATAAGATTTTTAGACTTGTTGCATGTAACTAAATTTTTTATATATGTAAATATATAGCGTACCAATTTTGTAAACGCACCATAATTCAATCTATTGCGAAGGTGTGTATCTTAAACCATTAATAATAATAATGATAATAATAATAAAAGATTTATCAGGAACGTAGAAAATACAAGGAAATACTAGTTCTGAAATACGATATGATATTTATAATAAACACTGGAGCGGAAATTAAAAAGGCCTGGAGCAGAAAAATAGGGAGGCGGGAAAGGGGCAGGGCGAGAAACGAGAGAAAGGAGAGTTGCCTGCCAAAAATCGACATATACACAACCTCGTTCCCAGGGCTTTTCCCTTTTTGTATCTATGCGAAGCATAGATACATTGCTATCGCGTTGTTTGTGGGTTAAACACTCGGGCTGTATACATTAAATATGTACATGCCTGCGAACAGGTAACCTTAAAAAAAACAAAATGGCTGCTTCTATTTATATCAGTGATTTATGTACAAGTCTACAATTAATAATAGTACATCGCTATTATTAATATCTGTCATCACAAACAATAATACAATGAAAATATACTGTGACAAGGTGAGAGTTTGTTTTTTGTCTAAATGTTTGTATGTGATTTAAAATAAATTTGAAATGCTGTGATGAGTGTGATCCATATGATATTTCCACAGTGATCGATCATATTAATCAGTCTTTTATAACACACTGGCTATACTTTACTGGTCTTACTTGTCGTTTCCGAAGGTGAAAGAATGTTGAGTGACTACTTGCAAGGCAGTTGCACTAAGGACAACATTGTATGGGGCTAAGGGGGTAGAAATATAGTTGTTATTGTGGGGAAAGTTATACTCAACACTGAAAATGTGTATAAATGTGTCAAGGGTTTTGACCAGGAATGGATTGTGGTGCTAAATACAAAATACAAAATAGTCTTAATACATTACATACTGTAGCTGAAAGCGAAATCCGCTGGTCGAGAATGCTAATGTGGAGTGTAAGAGAAGCTCTAGAAGTACAAGACAATGCATGCCAAAGGTGGTAATTGCCTCCATGAAATTTTAAGTTTGGGTATTCACCATTTTGTTGATCATAACTTTCTGCTTTATAATCAATAATATATAACTTTTGTTAAAGGTGATGTAAAGTTCGTAAATCGTAATGTAAACGCTTTGTCTACATGTAAGTTGCAGTATTTCCCCAATAAAACGTCAGCGAAACGCACGATATATTCCGGTAGAATAAATAATCCAAAATGTCCAAAAGGATATATAATATTTATTCATACAAAGTCAAAATATATAATCTCACTGTGTCACCGTGTCAACGTGTCATACATATTTAACTATACAATTACGATTACAAACAATAAAACAATACAAGACAAATACCTGACTGTTAGTCCTCTGGCTATACTACAACACCACAACGTTCAAACAACTTTTATAAATCACACAAATCAACGCGAGTTCGTCCACAGGCGGCCCAATCTCTGAACGTCCTATATATTTTGAATATTTAACCGTTATTATATTTTAAAATAACAAAATAATTCAAAAATATTAACAATATATGTAAAAAATATATCTCACTTGTTAATAGAATCCATTTGTTGTGTTTCTGAGTCTAGTTGATGCGATTGCTTTACGTTTTCGCCGTACTTGAACAGTCGTCAGTACTATGGCACTGGACGACATGGCCGTATAGGACATAAATAACTACATAAATAACTACGAAGGAAGAGCAAAACAAAGATTATACAACAGAGCCAAGAAGTCTGGAAATCCAACACATTGGCACCAGTTTCGTGCTGCTAGGAAAAGGTTACACCAGAACTTGAAAACTGCCAGAGATATCTATGTGTCAGAGTACCTTGGCGACGCGATTGAAGAAAACCCAAAGCGTTTTTGGTCTTATGTGAAGCAACTAAAGCAGGATAACCTGGGAGTAGCAGATTTGGAAATTGATGGAAAATTAATTAGTGATGGACAAACTAAGTCTGAAATCCTTAATAAGCAGTTTTCTTCTGTTTTCACTGACGAAAATCTTGCAAATATACCAGCAGTAGGTGATAATCCTAAACCAGCAATAAGACCTATCAGTATTTCCATCTCCGGTGTCACTAAGCAGTTACTGTCATTGAAAACAAACAAAGCTTGTGGACCTGACTCTATCCCATCCTGGTTCCTAAAAGAATATGCCCAAGACATTTCACCCATGTTAACTAATATTTATCAATGCTCCATAGACACAGGAATCGTGCCTTCTAAGTGGAAAAATGCAAATATATGTGGGATCTTCAAAACAGGGAAAAAATCAGATCCGGTTAATTATAGACCTATTTCTCTGACTTGTATTGCCTCTAAGATATTGGAACATATAATTCACAGTCATGTTATGAAACATTTGCAACAAAACAACGTGCTAACGGACTGTCAACGTGGATTTAGGGCAACGTGGTGAGTCAACACATGTTGCAGTCTTGGACTTTTCGAAAGCTTTTGACAAGGTACCCAATCAACGACTTTTGAGGAAACTGTATTATTATGGAATTTCTGGAGAGTTACTTGATTGGTTCGAGTCTTTTCTTTCACAACGTTATCAGTCTGTTGTCTGTGAAGGCAAAACATCTACCCCCCTACTTGTGACGTCAGGAGTTCCCCAAGGGACAGTGCTTGGCCCGCTCCTATTTTTATTGTACATTAATGACTTGTCGGACAACTTGCAGTCAACTGTGAAACTTTTTGCTGATGATGCCAGTAGTTAATAAAGGCCGGTTCTAGGACAAAACGGTTTGCGCATGCGCGGGTTGAATTGATGACGTCACTTCCGGTTGAATTGATGACGTCACTTCCGGTTGAATCGATGACGTCACTTCCGGTTGCCTGATTTCCCGCGCCGCCCATGCCTGCCGGACCCCTCCCCCGTGCTCGCGCATCCGTGGTCGCGAACACGCAGGTACGCAAGTACGTACACACGTGCTCTGACAGTTTGCCGCAAATCCTCGTGGGTGTTGACCCGATGTTCCGGGGACCCCGCACGCCCGCATGCCCACATGCCCGCACGCCCCGCATGCCCACACGTCCACATGCCGACATGCCCGCACGCCCGCGCGTGCTCACACACACGCACGCTTGTCGGAGTCTTGCTGAACAGAATCAACATTTATAGATTTATCAGGTTAAAAATAAAAGTAATGTCTTTGCCTAAATGGATTAGGGATAAGAAAGCAGTTACTAATATGGAGTGCGAAGATGGGGATAGTTTTAAGTTTTCAGTCACACGTTCTCTGCATCCGGTGGAGAAAAAGGTAAGTACCGTTAGCGGAACCCTGATAGAACAGTCGGAGAATCTGGACTGGTCGTCACCGATTGTGCCGGAATTTGAGAAGAATAACGGAATAGGGATTAATTTGATCGGATTGTCTGGCGACAGGATTGTTGCATTAAAGGTGGCAGGATGGACGTATCCGAAGGTTGTTACGTTATTTTTTTACGGAGCTAGGTATTATGTTGTTAGAAATATAAGTCGTTTATGGTCGGGTCAAATTAACAGGAGTAGGAGGTCGAGGATATTTTGCGATCGGTGTTTGCTTTCCTTCGGAGGTAAGGTAGGGTTTGATAAGCACATTCTAATCTGTTGCACCGGTATAAATAAAGGTATGGATTCTTCTGAAGTGTCTTACGAGGGATGTCGGGAAAGTACGGATTTTCCTTTTGAAGTGTCTCTTAAGAAATATGAGGAAAATACGGATTTGTATTTAAAGACTATAAAAAGGTCCGGTTACAAGAACATGAACATTATTTTTGTGGCGTACTTAGACTCTATCGGTTGGAACTTTGATGGACCGGCTCCAGATTGGAAATTGCTGAACGGTATGGATTCCCCGCTTTCAAAGACCCTTTCAGCATACCATAAAAGGTTGTGTCCACCCAGGGTACCGAGGAAGGAGAGAAAGAGGAGCAAGGACATGGAGAACTTTAAAATAGCGAAAAAGAAGTACTTGGATTTCCTTGCTTCGAAGGAACCTGTGGAATTTCCGAATAAACACTTTTGTTCCGAGGGACGTAAGCATAATCTTATTGATATAGACGGGAAAAGAACGTGTCGCGAATGTGGGTTAGAGGTTGGTCTAACCAGTTACGTTTCCGGATACGGCTGCTGGGACAGAGCAATTATGAGGCGTAAGTATATACCAGCTACTATCCGTGAGAAAGTCCGTAACTTTATAGTTAAGAAGGAAATGTTGGGACAATACCTATTTAGGGAAACGCCGAGACAGTACCCTATTCTTGGGGGAGTAGTGGGTGAGGTTATGAACTGGGTTGTGTATATTTGTGAAGCAGAGAAACCTAGGGAGAAGAGGGTACCCAATCTTAATATTATGATATATCAGGTATGTAAAATTATTGATGTTAATGTAGATGAGTCTCTACTTAAGATCCCTAAGGGTGGGATTTCCCATGATCGGTGTAGGAAATTGTTTCAGAAGCTGGGTTTGAAGTATACTGAATAATTCTAATGTCTTTTACCAGTCATTAAAATTGAAGTATTAGTCTTAGGGTAACGATAGCAAGGAGAACCTCAACCGTTATTGGAATTAGCAGGAGGCTGATCAGACACAACCACACTAGTTTCCGTGGTATTCTCATCATTTTGTTTATCGTATTTCTTTACGGTTGTGCTGGCATAACCGATTTGGGTATGTGCGCTCATTGTGATGTCACCCCGTTCGATACCGATACTCAGGTTAAACATTTTCCTCCTTTTATGATTTTTGTTATACTTTATTCTGTTCTCGGTTTCGGGTTTTGAGGACAGACATCCCATTTTATTTCTTAGCCTTATGTTTTATGGGTTTGGGTTTAGGTTTAGGTTCTGGTTTGGGTTCCGGACAGCATTCACCCTTCTTCATGTATCTGTAGTTCTTTACGCTAGAGCTGTTGAATTCAACCCTTGCATCTGCACCAAAGGTTAGACTTCCCTTACCCACCTTAACACCAACGGTTGCTTCCTTACTTTTCTTCTGCTCTTTAACGATCTTTTCCTTCTTCTTTTCGCTACTCATTTTTATTTAACCGGAAAAATAAAATGCCATTCAACATGATTATCGTAGGTATGACGGCCTGTGGGAAGACGCATTACCTCGTTCGGGAGTTAAAGACGACGTTTTTCCGTCAATTTGAAAATATATTTCTGATTTGTCCTACCTACCACTGGAATAAAACCTATGATCAGGATTTCATTCATGAGGATGATAATTTCTTTGTTATCCCCTGCAGGCAGGATGACGTGGAGGACTACCTTAAATTTGTAGTGGACTTTACCAGGGGAAGGGAATCTCTTATCATTCTGGACGACTGTGCCAGCACTAAGTCTGTGAAGGATCGGACGGGAGAGTTGGTTGACCTTGGCTTTAGCGCGCGTCACATGAGTATTTCTACCATTGTTATTACCCAACAGCTGACCTCTATTGCTAAGCCGTACAGACAGAATATTTCAAAATTGGTGACGTTCTATAATCCGAATAGACAGGACATGAAGATTATTCTGGATGAATACCTTCTCGTTGACAATGCGGAAATGAGATCTATCAAGGAAAAGTTGAAGGAGAATAAGTATGCTTATCTTGAAGTGGAACTAATACACCCATTCAATCATGAAGTAAAAGTTCCTATAGTATAATAAAGGGGAATGGAACAGGAACCACCAAACGCAGAAAATACGGAGATAGAGGACAGTAGGGCAGAGCTCATCCGCCTGTCCAATGCAGGAGAGATTAAACAGTCTGAAAGTTACCTTAAGAAGGCATCCGGGAAGGTTATCATGAAGGTACGGAGGGAATATATTACCACACAGAGGGAAAAGGCAAATGTGGTGCTGACGGAGGCTTTAATTGAAAAGTTTTCGGATCTCATGGAAGCTATCAATATGGTAGATAGTGGGAACGAACTAAGGGAGGAATTAAATCAGGATAAGCTGTTCAGGAGTGATGTTAAAAGTGTGGTAGCAAAGCTGTCCCCATACACACCCTACCTGGGTATTGTTAGTGGTGGAGTGACAACAGTGAAACATGTTTATCGAAAGACACCCGAACAGGGGCCTTCTGAAGAAGGACCGGAGACCGATGATCAAGCGTAAAATTTTCCAAACTCTTTTGAGTATGGAAAAACTGTGGATTTTGAATAATTTAGTACTTTATTCCAGCAAGTTGTCCGTTTGTGATCTTGATAACACCGTCGGATAGGACGAACAAGTAACATATGACGTTTGCGGTTGTGGCTTTCTTTGTGATTTCCACTAATATTCCGGATTGGGTGTTCTGGATTTTAGCACCGTTTCCGTATGTCCTGGCGTCGCTTACAGTTCTGAGGTCGATGACCAGTGCGAATTTCTTGTCTTTGAAGAATCCGGTTAGTGTCTGGTGACTGATTTCATCGGTACCGAACAGTCGTCTTGCCTCCTCGTACAGTCTTGTTTTGGGAATACCCTGACTATAGACTGCATTAGGAACACCTTCTATGGTTACCCTGACCTTTTCGATATTGGGGTAGATATATTCCTCGCTGTCTGTCTTTGTCTTGTTTGTAAATAGCATAACGATGGCTTTCATACTCCTGCGTGGTACGTTAATCGTTTCGTTGATGATGGTGGAATCTTTGCTCCATTCCGTCTTCTTCATTAGGGTAGCGTGTTCGAAGGATAATTCGCGTTCGGATCCGTACAGACCCTCGGCTTTCCTTGCGAGATCGATGTTGTCGATGGACTCGTATTCCAGTTCGATGTTCTCCAGGGTGTATCCTTCCACAGATTCTCCACCTTGTGCGCTCATGATTTCGGTCGCTGCAGGTAGGGTGATTACATATTGTAAGTCGTTTGCCATGTTGTGTGGAGCATAAAGTCCGTGATCTTTGAGGATCTTGTTGATCCTGATCTTTTGTTTCGTTCCGAATACGCCGAACAATGCGGTGGCCTCTGCATCGTCGTTTGCGGCGTCGTCCTTGGATATCTTCTTCCTCGTGGCTTCGCTGGCGATACCATCCTCTACCATATCATCACGCTGCTTGTTGTGTAACCATAGGTCTTTGTAGACTTCCAGTAGGCTTTCTCCGCTGTTGTCGTAGACCTTTTCTCCTGCGAGTCGGATTTCCAGTCTCTTTTGAAGTAGTTTCCCTAGGTTATTCCTGAACCAGGATTTGTGTTGCTGTTTTTAAAGTCAAAAACTAAAGCCATACTATCCGGTACGAGAACGGAGTCGGCTTTTAGCTTGGGGATATTAACATATATTTCTTCTCCGGGTTTGGCAGAATTGGGATTAAAGGTTAGAATGTGTCTTGTTCTATCCCCAGTAATTTCCGTCCTATTCATACGCCGGAAGCTGGGCATAAGTTCAGTTGTTCGGTCCATTATGTTTTTATTATAGTATAACTTTATTTCCTCCGTTTCATTTGTAGGTACTTGTATATGGCTCCGGCAATTAGAACTGCTACGATCCATAGGTTCTGAGCAAGGAAGGCAAGACCCTTAGCTCCCCAGCTTAGGATAGTACTCAGTAGATTTATAATAGGTACTAGGATTGGTAGTGCAGATTTTGCAAGTCCAGCTAATGCTTTTCCTACGGCTCCTAACCCTTTGGATGCTCCTACGATAGTCGTCTTTCCTGCCACCACAATTGTAGTAATGATTCCGGCGATAGAAATAGCAATGGCAGCTAGTGCTCCTAGGTTTTCCTTTGCCCATTTGCGGAATCTTTCTAATTTTGTCTTGATATTTTCTCTTACTATTTCCCTATACCTATGTTTTCCCTCCTCCGTTTCGGGTTGCTGGCCCATCTCTAGGTTGGCGTTATCTATACCCTGTTCGGCAACATCCCTACCCTCTTGCATAATCTGTCGTCTTTCGGGATCTGTTTCTAGTTCTATATTGGTTTCGAATACTTTCTTCTGTTCCCTTAAGGCTTTAATTCTGACTTCAGGGGGTCCTTTGGGAGCGGTTACTCCCGCAAATTCCCTCCTCTCCTGTGTGGTTATTTTTCCCCTTTCCCCTAACTCCCTTGCGTGTTCCACAAGGTTGTCGCCTGCGTTGATGACTTCCTGACGGAATTCCTCCTCAGCGTCTTCGAAAATCTCTTCCGCATTTACTCCCGATGCCTCTCCTCCGGTTTCCTCTTCGACTACACTTTTGGCTCTTTCCCTGTGTTCGGCGAGTGATTTTTCGTACAGATTAAGGAATCTTCTTGATGATGCGGTAGCCTTCTTATTCTCGGACATTCTGTAAGTACCGCCGGTATCAATGTATGCGACATCGGCCCCGTTAAATGTCAACTTGTTTTTGGTGATGTCTAAACTGGATATAAATTCCTTAGAGTTTCGTCCGTCGGTCGGATCTATTCGATACTCAGTTCTGAAAAGCCTTCTGACGTATTCTATCTTTATGTCATCAAATTTTCCATATGTGCTCAGTTCGTCTAACTGTCTCTTCCTTTTCCTGTAGGAATCGTTCTCATTCTCCTCGCGGAAACTGGAGGTTTTTACATCGTCTAGTCTTTGATCGTCGTCTAGTCCTGAAAGGAAATAATCCTCGTCAGTAGGTGTATCATCGATAACTGTTTCGTCCTCACCCCCTTCGGCCCCTTCCGGTCGGTTAAGGTTGTCCAACTCTATGTTATCCTCCATCTTTATTTAAGTCTAAAGATAACTCCTGTTCATAATACCTCCCAAAAATATCCTCCCCATCCTCTGGATCCTTAAGGCTGTACATGTTCGGATCTCCCCGGAACACCGCTGTAACGACGTATACTTCGTTGTCAAAATTGGGTTCGTATCCCTTTTCGAAGGTCTTGTGCTTTATTTCCACCCTAACATGATCCCCAACCTTAAATTTAGGATCCGGAAAAGTGCTTAGTGGATATCCGTAGATTCTTGTCCAAACTTCTTCCTTGTTTTCCTCATTCACATCCGCCGGTTTCATTCCTATTGTCCTGTGTGTGGAATTATTATAGGATCTAACGAGAGCAGGTAGTAGGATGTCCACCCAAACTTTCGTCCTGTTTTCCGTAAAGTATTTCCACATCCTTGTTTTTAGGGTCCTATTGAATCTCTCGACGAGTGCGGCTTTTCGGAAGGTCCTTGTGGAAAAGTAGTGAACATCGTGATCCTTTAGCAACGTCTTTACTCCTACATTGTAGAATTCCTTTCCGTCATCAAACTGAGCCGTTTTAGGATATCTACCAAACCTTTCCTTAAATTGTACGAGCACATTTTCGACAGCCTTTGTCATGCTTTCGGTATTTTTTCTCCATACGGGAACGGCAAAAGCATACCGACTCAGAACCTCTATGACAGTTAGGATCCATCGGTTTCCCTTATTCCCATGGCTAAATTTACTCATATCCACAAGATCCATTTGAATTTGCTGTGCAAGTCCATCCACATAGGTCCTTTTGGTCTTGTAATGTTTTCTGGACGGTTTATGAATGATGTAGGTATTTTGTGTCTGTAACCATTCCCTAACATTTTTCCGGTTGACTCCCTTTATACCCTCCGCCTTTGCACTCTGGTATAATTTTTCCATCGACATGTACCCACCGTTAACGTTAAAATATATTTCCCGGAGAGCTACATCCAATTCCAAACTCATTTTATTATCTGTAAATAAAACATGAAAAAGATAACGGTCTATGTTGAAGACGGAGGGGTTACCCTGGACTTACAGGATCCACTAATCCTTACCCACGGATCCGAACTTTACGCGTAAAGACTGCTGCCGTGTTCTGGAATTATAAGAATATTCGTAAGGGGTTTAATGACTACATTTCCGTAGATGGGAAGAAGGTAATGATAGACGAAGGGTATTGGACCTTTAAACAGCTTAGGAAAGAGTTGGAGGAAAACGGGTTGACACTTAGGGAATATCCCGATGGAAGGATAAGGATCGACTTTTCTAAGGGAACAAATTCCGCAGGACTCCGGAATCTCACGAGTATTCTGGGTAACCGGTCCTCCAATGGTCCTACATACACACCACACATTAGCGATCGTACCGTGGACATCCATGAAGGCTTGCGGTACCTCACAGTCAGTTGTAACCTTGTGAATCGCGAGCATAACATCGGACCGTATGGAAATAGGAGTACCGTCATCACTTCCCTTCCCATCGATGGAACAAGACCTCTCTTTGGAACCACGACAAAATACAACGACATTGAAAGCCAAGTACGGGTGGATGCTGGCAAATACAGCGAAATCCGGTTTGAGATTGGATCTAATACCGGAATCATCCCCGGAGATGTATTGTTAGAACTTTACATCAAATAAAAGGATGAGTGAGGAAATCTTTCGGAACTACTACGGAAAGAATTACGAGAAGGTTAAGGCGGCAGTACCCGTCGAAATCCGGAAAATGAAGACAAACTTCATGAAAAAATATCCCAATGCGACCATATCCAAGTTCGACTTTAATGTTACCTTCGCCAAGGACGGAACTGTAGAGTCTAGAGACATTTTCTACAAAGTGGATGATCTCACAAGCCATGATCTTACATCCGTCACATTCCGCACAAATCCGAAATGGACCAAGTACCTGTACTGGGTAGAAGGGTGGCGTAGTGTTCGACCGGATGCAATCTTTCGTCCAAATAAGGATTTCAAGATGGATGTACATACCTTTAAGGTCTATGTTACGGAAACCGAAAATTTCCTGACGAAACTGGAACCTATTAAATCATCGTACGATAAGCCTTCCGAAACCTTTATCAACACTGTACCCTTCGATTACCATTCCAATTCCTACTTCTGTTCCCTGGCGGCATGCTATGTTGCTATGTTTAAATCCGGAATTTCCGAGGATCACCTGACGAACAACTTTGTCAATTCGCACTCCAACATAGTAACCTCTATCGTCCGCTTTCACCTTCATTTCCACCTCTCGAGGTTTATGCGTAATCCCAAACTACTGGACCAGTATCTTACAGGGGATGATATACGAACCATTAGGAAGTATACACCTGTACGTGAAACATGGGTTAGGAGGACCGTCTCTTCCCACGCAAACATAGGAACATACACTACGGGTTACCCGTAAGCGAACGGAAAAGAATACGACGTCAAAAGTACCGTCTGACTAAATATGGAGGTTCATTTATCGAATACGAATACCTGACTGGTAGATCACCCTTTGACGTTGAAAATGATTATAAAACCCTTATTCCCAAAACATCCCGGGGACTTACCAAAGTTGGACAGAAATTATTCCAGCAGTCTATCGAAGCATTTGTGTATTCCGTCCTGGGAGCACAGGCTAAAACCCGATGGAGTATCACGGGTCAGGGTGCAACAAGTTTGCAGACCCAAGAGGTTTTCCGTAAGGTGGTAAAAGATACAATTGTACAATACGATGTGACAGTTACCATCTCCGACATGAGGACGGCTATTGCTAACACCCATGTCGTCCTAAATTTTGCGATCATGCCGGGTTTAATCTTAATTCCTTCCGACCTGAGAATCTTAGCGAAACCTATTCCAGGATTCAGCAATGTTCTGACGGTAGCTAAAAACGGGATGACGTTTGGTAAGAATGATAAGGTGAATTATACGAGTAATCCTGTTTCTACCCCTACGAATAATATAGATGAAAGCCATGACATTACACCAGTTTCCAGCATAGACGAAAGCCATGACATTACACCAACCCCAACCGTGGAGGACTTTAAACCCCCAGAACTAAGGCAGAAGTCTGATACCCAAATTATGGCTCTTGGGATGGCGGCAGTAGCATCCTTTGGACTTGCATACCTAGTATTTCGACGCTAAATAAAATGAGCATCCTACTCGGGTACGATTACTTTGATACAACAGCAGAGGACCTGGATATCTTTAAACGGAAATTAGCAGTAGTCGAAAAGGGACAGCAGAGAAACACGGCAGAAATTACCAAAAATACAAATGACATTGTAAGACTGAATAGCCTTGGAAGGAATTACGTACAGTACGACCTTACCGAATTACCCTACCTCCCCGGATTTTATAAGTCCTCAGTCATTTCGGACGATGATAAGAAGAATGCAAAATTTATGGTCTTTAAGGTGAGTGGATTCGAGATAAATTTTTCAACGCCGTCTCCACCATACGGATTCTACGAAGGAAGTATAGGAACGGTGGTTATGTTTACGGTCACTCAAAGAAGTGCTATCGTCCGCACATCCTTTTCGTTCACAGTACAAGGTGCATATGTAAGTCTTAACGGTCTCGAATACAAAAACATAGATTCCGCCGGAAATGCAACTGTCAGAAATGAGGCTACAACCATAAGCTTCTTCCTCATGACAACATAAAGTTTTAAATCTTTTCGTAAGATTTAAAATATTCGTGTTAATCCGTAAGCACCGCCAACACCCAGTATACCCACTGTCAACACTGCGTATCTTTTCATCTCGTCCGATGGTTGATAGTAATCCTCCAACTTAGGTCTGCGTTGGGATGCCGTATTATCCATAAGCCTCGTATAATCCCTCAAGTCTTCCAGTGCCCTGTTTGTTTCCTCGATGTCCTTGTTAGCATCCAGGATCTCGTCCCTCCGTCTTGCCTCGTCGTTCCTGCGCTTCACTTCGGATTCGTAAAACTTCTCCTTGGCTTTCGCAAGCTTCTCTAAGGCTTGGTTATGTCTTTTTACCTCTTCCTTGTAGCCTTGTCCATTCAGCTTGGAGAATAGAAAGCCGGCCCCGGCAAAGGCCACGGCATTAAAGAGTCCTCCCACCACAACAGATGTCATTCTTTATTTGTCGATCATTTTTGGGATGTATCCCTTATCCTTAAGATATCCTATGGTGAATGCACTTCCGGCTACGGCAACGGCAAGCTTAGCCGCTCCTTCTAGGGTCATCGGTGCACCCAGGCTTTTCCGGCAACCGTTTTGGCAAGGTAGGATACCCCAACGACTCCGGTTGTCAGTAGTACCACATCGTACAGTTCGTTTATCACTTCCTTCTTCGTTTCGGCCATTATGTTTTATTATAGTAGAACTATTTTAGTCAAACAAGTCAGGAACCTTTGGTGTGATAACAACAGGTTCCGACTTCTCTACAATCTTATCTTCCTCGGGCTTCTCGTCCTTTTCCTGACGACTACACCACATAACATAGAGGGATCCGAGTCCTACGGCGATACCTACTACCAGACCTACCATATCTAGGGTGACTATTGACCCATCGCCTCTGTCCTCTGTGTTCGTAATGCTTTGCTCCTCTTCCTTGATAGTTTCGAGCTGTGCTTTCTTCCTTGCTTTCGCTTCCTTACTTATCTTAGCAAGCCTACGTCCTGCCTCCACCCTTCTGGGATCCTTGACGTGGGTCTTTACTGGATTTGTGACGGGTACTGCTGTCGTATCTGGGTTTACTTCCGACATGGTTCCTTTTTATTTATAGTAGGATTTAACTAACTTGTAAGTAACCTTAGATCTAGTCAAAAGTATCTTACGACTACTCCCAAGTAATCTCATGAGTAGATTTGAGTAATCTCATGAGTAGATTTGAGTAATCTCATGAGTAGATCTCAGTTAACTTGTGAGTAATCTTAAATCTAGTCAGAAGTACCTCAAATTCAAGATCAACAGTCTATAGGAAAGGCTCCAACTAGGGGTAGACAGATGGGTACCTGAGTCCTTTGAATATTAAAATCAGTTTGCTGTGATTCCTACCGTCTCAGATCCTTGTGTCCTATTGCCAGGGTGTGTATCCCGTCTTCGCAGATGATACGTTTGTCGTCGCTTGCCGATAGGGCCACCTTGACGATCCTTTCGGTATGTATTTCGTGCAGTCTACTTCTGAAGACGTTCATTCCCCTCCATTGTTTCTCACCGCTGCAGAGGCATTCCTTATAGTTGTCGAACGTTATTTCCTTTTTGATGGTTGTCTTCTTGACGCCTTTACATTTCTTTCCTTCCTTTCCGTCTTCCGCCATTTTGTAGGCGTACAGTTTCGCCCTAAGTCCTACGAATTCTCCGATCTGTTTTTCTCCTGTTTCCGATTTCATCATTCCGATAACCTTCTTGTTTATTCCGGTCGGAATTCCGGAGGGGTGGTTTTTGCCGATGTTGCTGGTATCGAATTCTTCGTAAACATCTTTGGAAATGTCCTTGAGGAAGTCCTCGGTGGTGATTTCATAGCACAGGGAGTCCGTGTCTTTGAATAGGAGTTCGGCATCGTTTCCATACATCGGTTTGATGTAGTTATAATGAATGTCATACATTAGGGTTTTGCTGATGTCCAGTATACTCATTCCGAGGTAGATTGGTTTTTTCAGCTTTACGGAGGTCCTCCTCATGTGAACTGCCACCAGATTTTCCGAGAAGATGGTTACCGACTTGAAGTTGTGTTTCTTGGATAGCTTGTTCCATTTCTTTTCATCGTTGACGATTCTGATATCGACTCTGTTCCTTACGTTTTCCATGGTCTTTCCGAATACGGAGTTGTTCATGAGCTTGAAGAAGTCCTTTTCGAAGTCTGTGGTTCCTTTGGTACGAAGGTCTGTGTTGAGCTGTATGTATTCTATCATCCAGTCCCTTTCGAGGAATTTTACTCCCCGATGTATTTTGACCAACTTTAACCCCAGGCTCAGGTACTGTTTTAGGTTTGTGTGGTGGAGGACGTATTTTTCCATGTTGTTGAGGTTGGGTATGAGCTTTTCCGTTTTGTTGACCATTATCCTTTCTGGTGCTAGGGGGTATTCGTTGTGTAGGTCGTGGAGTTCGTCCGGGTATTCGAGGTCCACTTCGAGGATGCAGCTGTGTTCCATCCATTTTTCCAACTCGTTGTCATTCATCCATTTGAAGTCCTTGATGGGTAGGGGCTGACTCATTGCCCATCCGTATAGGTTGTTTGCATCCAGGTAGGGGAGGTACTTGCTTTTCTTCTTGGGGTCGTAGTTAGCCATGTACTTGTTGTTGGCTATGGCATGTCTTTTGGTGATGGTGCTGATTCCTCCCCGGATTCCTCTTTCTATGAGTAGATACATGTTCGGATCGGAAATAAACTCCAGTTCTACTTCGGTTAGTTTTAGACACGCATCCCACGCCAGTCCCGGTGATGTGTAGTACCACAGGGGATCGAGTCCGTAGTTTGCTCTGCATACCTTCCTAAAGTTTTCCATAACGTCTGTCAGGAGTAGGACGTCCGTTTTGAGGTAGAGGTCGTGGTAATCCCTCATGGTTTTCATACCGAAGGTGTTCCACACATTCTGTGCTCTCCTGTAGTCGGTGTCGCTGATGTCTTCGTTGGTTAGACTGCTGAAGAATTTACCCTTGGGTGGGAGGGATGTT